AAGGAGCAAGTACACAGAGCCTGCGCTGTACTCTAGCCCGGCAGCACATACCACATCTAAGGATGGCAAGCATCAATATATTTTTCACTCACTTACTGTATATATGTAGGAGCGTCATTGTCACCCTAAACTGCTCTATTTTGAATACAAACACCTCCCTCTCTCCTTATCATCCTTTACAGGGGACGGAGGTAAACTAATGCAATCAACACAACTATGGACTGCTTAGCTAAAGTATGCTCTTGGGTTTAGATGTGCTTTCATTGTATTGTACTTTGGCAGCCCTGAAATGATATTGTGTTACAGATGAAGAGAGAAGAATGCATGGGAGGATCGGGGCAAAACAGGCATTGTGTACTATGTACCTTGTACCAGTAAGTGCACGTGGTAATTTAAACAGACAGGCAGCTAATAGTTGAATCATAGTGTCCCTTGAGGCAATGGTAGTCTGCCCATTCTCCTACAAACGGAAGTCTACCCTGTGTCTCCTCGCGTGATTATCGCTTTAATTATTTTCAATAATGTGTCTCTGACCTCCGTCTGTGATTTCCATTCAAGGCTGGGGGCTGCATTTTGTCAGCCAGCTCGCACATTAAAATTAGACTACAAGCCATCTTTATTCTGAAGCCTGGAGAGGCTGGGCTGTGTACACATGTATTATGAAATTCCAGATGGCAGCTATATTAATAGATATAAAATATTCAGGCTCATCGCCTTGTACGGAGGGCATGGCACAAATTTAATCAGCTTATCCAAGTCCCTGGCTTTTCTAAAAATATTCTGTCACCTTAACTCTTTTGCGTCCAAAAGGTTATATACAGCAGTTGTCGGGAAATTCTGGTGCCCAAACCCCAACTTTCACTGCCGAAGTCTAAATTTAGAGCTTGCCCAATAAACAAAGTCTTGATGGCTGTTGAGAAGTTATAAAATTCTCATCAACAAAAAAGACATATCAATCACAGGCCAAGTCCAGACTTGTAAATCTTAAAATACATCTAAACCCAATCATTAAAATCTCATATAAGCCTTAGCACATTAATGTGATTGCAAAAGTTGTTTTCAGTCTTTTTAAACCTCCTGCTTTCATTAAAATAATTGCTGGTGATCCAGACAAGTGTGTCCCACATGTGCTCTTAAATTGCCAAGTTTTTACACTTGTCTCTACAAGTGGCTGCGCCGATATACATTGCACAATGTGCCGCCTCCTCTGTAAAGCACTTCAGGCTGCATTTGCATGCTTGCGCCCACCACATACAATGCAGGATTAATAGTCCTGCATTGTACATGATGACGCCAAGACCTTGCCCACAGAGTGCAGCGTCAGGGAGATAAGGACAGCACTTGAGTGAGGAATCAGGTATATAATAATGCCTGTTTCAATCCCCAAGACTATAACCCTTGCAGTGTAGGGGCCGTAATGAAAGGGTTATTTATTTCACATTCCTGGAGTTCAGCTTTAATGTTAAAAAAAGGTTAAATATTAATTTGTAATGATTATCTGCATACAAACATACAGCAATAGTGCAGCCTTTTGGCCTCCTGCAACCTATACAAAAGGTTTCCTATACACTTTGGGGGGGGGTTTACTAAAACTGGAGTGCTCAGAATCTGGCACAGCTGTGTATGGTAGCCAATCAGCTTCTGACTTCAGCTTGTTCTGTGAAGCTTTGACAATAAAACCTGGAAGCTGATTGGTTTCTACGCAAATCTGCACCAGTTTTTTCACGCTCTAGTTTTAGTAAGTCTCCCCTTATAAGTGAAGCTGAAATCATTGATAAACTGAAGTCTGAAAGTGATTCTAAAGGCAGAAGGTTTTTTACTGGTCCAGCTATGTGCACAAGAGCAGCAGCCCTCTTGGCTCTGTCCCTCCTCATTGGCTCAGAGATAGCAGCAGGAGCCATAGACTCCTGCTGCTGTCAATTACAGCTAGTTATGATGGATGAGGGGGGGGGGGGGGGGAGCCACACTCTGTAGGTCAATGGACACTTGAGTGTGGCTCTTGAGGAAGCACACAGCAGTGCCCCATAGCAAACAGCTTCCTATGGGAGCACTGAGCCAGGAGCGCTGGGGGATGGGGGCAAGAGGAGGAGGATCAGAACTGTTCTGTGCAAACCTATTGCACAGAACAGGCAAGTATAACATGTTTGTTAGTTTAATAAAAAAGGAATCAAGCATTTACAATCACTTACACTCCTGGCACAAAACTTTCATTTAAAGCAGAACCAAAGGGAGTTATACTTATTTCATTCAATGGTTTCTGTGCCTTGGTGGCGCAGGCATGCTCTCTCAGGTACCAGTCTTTGGCTGTCTCCATTGCCTTCATTTACGGGATGAATTGCTCTTGTGCATGTGGAGAGTCACAGGAACAGTGTCAGCAATGTAATCTGACCGGGGCCTTCCTACTCACTGTTTGTGACAGTAGAACTTTAGTTCCATTTTAAATATATTTCTCAATAGCCCACAGAGGATATACAGTGGTTATAAAAAGTCTACACACCCCTATTAAAATGTCAGGTTCCTTTGATGTAAAAAAAATGAGATAAAGATAAATAATTTCAGAACGTTTTCCACCTTGATATAGCCAATAAATGTACAACTCAGTTGAACAACAAACTGAAATCTTTTAGGTGGAGGGAAGTAAAAATAAGAAACTAAAACAATATGGTTGCATAAGTGTTCACACCCTTAAATTAATACTTAGTTGAAGCACCTTTTGAAGTCTATCAGCATGGCACATCTTGACTTGGCAATATTTGCTCACTCTTCCATACAAAAACACTCCAAATCTGGCAGATTGCAAGGGCATCTCCTGTGCACAGCCCTCTTCAGATCACCCCACAGATTTTTGATCGGATTCAGGTCTAGGCTCTGGCTGGGCCATTCGAAAAGTTTAATCTTCTTCTGGTGAAGCCATTCCTTTGTTGATTTGGATGTATGCTTTGGGTGGTTGTCATACTGAAAGATGAAGCTCCTCTTCATGTTCAGCTTTCTAGCAGAAGCCTGAAGGTTTTGTGCCAATATGGACTGGTATTTGGAACTGTTCATAATTCCCTCTACCTTGACTAACGCCCCAGTTCCAGCTGAAGAAAAACAGCCCCACAGCATGATGCTGCCACCACCATGCTTCACTGTGGGTATGGTGTTCTTTTGGTGATGTGCAGTGTTGTTTTTGCAGCAAACATATCTTTTGGAATTATGGTCAAAAAGTTCAACCTTGGTTTCATCAGACCAGAACACATTTTCCTACATGCTTTTGGGAGGCTTCAGATGTGTTTTTTGCAAAATTTAGCCGGGCTTGGATGTTTTTCTTCGTAAGAAAAGGCTTCCATCTTGCCACTCTACCCCATAGCCCAGACATATGAAGAATACGGGAGATTGTTGTCACATGTACCACACAGCCAGTACTTGCCAGATATTCCTGCAGCTCCTTTAATGTTGCTGTAGGCCTCTTGGCAGCCTCCCAGACCAGTTTTCTTCTCGTCTTTTCATCATGTTTGGAGGGACATGCAGTTCTTGGTAATGTCAATATTGCACCATATTTTCTCCACTTGATGGTGACTGTCTTCACTGTGTTCCATGGTATATCTAATGCCTTGGAAATTCTTTTGTAACCTTCTCCTGACTGATAGCTTTTAACACTGAGATCCTTCTGATGCTTTGGAAGCTCTCTACGGACCATGGCTTTTGCTGTAGGATGCGACTAAGAAAATGTCAGGAAAGACCTACTAGAACAGCTGAACCTTATTTGGGGTTAATCAGCGGCACATTAAATGATGGCAGGTGTGTACTGACTCCTATTTAACATGATTTTGTATGTGATTGCTTAATTCTGAACACAGCTACATCCCCAGTTATAAGAGGGTGTTCACACTTATGCAACCACATTATAGTTTTTTATGTTTACTCCCCCCCCACCCCAAAAAAAAAAAAAAGATTTCACTTTGTTTTTCATTTGAGTTGTACAGTTTATAGGTCACATTAAAGGCGGAAAAAGTTCTGAAATGATTTATCTTTGTCTCATTTTTTTACATCACAGAGACCTGACATTTTAACAGGGGTGTGTCGACTTTTTATATCCACTGTACATCCTTTTTCTATGCACAACAATGCTTTTACAACCCATATATCATCCTGTAACATAGCAGCGACATCATCAGCCTGTACAGAGAGCAGAGCTGTGGAGAGCAGAAAATGTGCACTGTATAGGTAGCAGCATAGACACTGAAAATGCACTGGTGGTAAGAAAGAAGAAAGTGGCTGAGGTGAATTAGCAGCAGAAGAGTAATGCAGGGAGTGCAGGGGTAAGCTGTGGATGAAGGGTGCAGGGGGTGCAGAGGTGCAAAGGTGAGCTGTGGATGAGAGGTGCAAAGGTGAGCTGTGGATGAGAGGTGCAAAGGTGAGCTGTGGATGAGAGGGTGCAAAGGTGAGCAATGGGCAAGGAGTGCAGATATGAGCAATGGACGTGGGGTAGAAGAGTAGTTCAAAGGTGGAGCACTTTATTTCAGGTGGGAGATAATGAACGTTCAACTGCTCCTAAAGCGGGGCTTAGCCAAAAAAAAAAGTTTGGGAACCACACATTTTATGGTAAATAATCCAACTACCATGGAATGTGTGAATGGAGATGTTGGTTGACTAGGAACATGACAGGAAACTGTGTGAAACAGGGAATAGATAGAACAGGGTTGAGGGTTCACAAACTTCTCTTCTTTATCTTCCTTAATACATACCTTGAATTAAGATTACCTGTGTAGCTACAAATTCTGCTTTATGTTCCCAGAATTTATTAGAACCAAAGCCTTTAACACTACAGGAAAGGCTCAGCTGATTGTGAACAAAGATCATTCTGCAAAGATGCTGGTTCCACTGTCCAAAAGACAAGTGTCTATGCTAGCTGCAAATATACAAACAATCACAAAAATGTGAAAATGTGCATTTTGCAGTGACATAATTCCTCCCTGAAAATACACGACAGCTAAAAAAAATCTTTTCATTTGTGTGGCAGTGATGAGTCCTGTGGTAAGAAGTTGTTGTGCACAGCCTGGGACATTCGGGAAGACAGCCAGACAAGCGAGACCACATTGAAGCAGCCTGGAGATGAGGAGGTGGTAACCAAGGCCAGTCTGCACCATACAGGCTCTCCGGTGAGAATGTCGAAAGGGAAAAATGCAGCTACTTGTTCGCATGGGAACAACAACGACTATGAGCTGTCCTTGGATCTCAAGAACAAACAGGTGAGAGGATCTGGTCAATGGGCAAGAGACACATCGCTGAAGTGCCATTCACACCTGGTGTTTCCAGAATGTGCGCCAAAATGCACACTAGTGTAATGGCACCCTTATCACGGGCAACAAGTGTGCATTTGCTGTACCTATTGTTGCGTGGCAAATGAGAAAAAAACGTGTGGTGAAAAAAACGCTTCTTCTTTAGGAGCTTCTTTAGAGCGTTTGTCATGCGTAGGATAGCCCATTCAAGTGGTTGGGCTGCCCTATGTTTTGATGAGCGGAAATGCTCCAAAACACGCAATCGTAAACTTGAGTTGCTGTCACACTCAGGATCAGTACAATTGGTAGTTATAGTTTCCCCGAAATTTCAGCAAGAATTTGAAAAATTCTGTAAAAGTTTGCCATTTTGGGTCCATGGGAAAAGTTGAAGTTTAGGTGTTTTTTGGTGGTTTTAAGGGTGCATTTGGCTTTAAATGGCTGCTGGTGACTGCAGAAGCCCCTTTCAACTACCCTGGACCTGTTCTTGTGCCAAAAAGCACCCATTAGCCTTATTATTTTACTTTTTTTCACAGAAGGACATAAAGAGAAAGTGAAAAGAATTAAAATAAAACATTGATAGTGACAATACACAAGTAATCAAACACACACAAAAAGAAAAGAAATACAAGTACAAGGAAAACAAACATAAAAAGTTTATTACCTCCACATTTCATATTCCTGATATATGTGTGTTACCTTATACTTACATTAAAAAGTATTCTGTTGTCTTTTCATTTCTTCCTTTGTATGAAATCCCTGGTGACCCTGCCAGTCCTGCTTTCTTATTAAAACCTAAAACTGACCACACACAGCATAGAAGCACAACGTGGTCAGTTTGCTTCTTTGCTTTCTATTTGGAAGCACAACTTGCCTGTACTCCAGTGAGGAGACTTGTGCTGCCACAACCCTCTGCACAGCTCCTCAGTGGGAAATTCAGTGTAACTGTTTTTCTGCCTCCTGATAGCCCCCCCAGCACAGCTGTCACAGGGCATTTCTGTCTCTGCATTTTACACTGTGCCTGTGCTGCACCACACCCCTTCTTCCCCCACCCCATTGCCACAAGGATTCTCCACCCTCACATCTCTAAGCCCTTTATTCAGCTGAGAACAGAGGTCAGGTGAATGCTTATAAAAAAAAATAAAAATATGTAGACTATGAACAGGTGCTAGACAAAAAAAATGGAAACACTACATGATTTTCAGGTGTGAAAGTGATGACATGTTTCACGTTGAAAGCGAAATTGATGTAACATTCCTTTGCTTCCGCTGTGTGATGAATCACCTAGCTAACAGGTGGGAGGCCTCACTTTTATAATTTACTGCATACGCTGTTAGTAATATGGAGTTATGTCAGAGCTTATGGAGCTTCAGAGTGCAAATTGTTAGTGCCTGCTTAGCTGGTGCCTTTGTGACCGAAGTTGCCAATTTATTTGCGAGGTACAGTATCAAACGTTATGACAGCATATACAATTTCCGGAAAAAACATCATTTGATAAGCATAAGCCCGATCAACATGGTCAACTGACCAAAAGAGACAAAAGGACATTGCGAAGGATTGTGACCCGGAATAAGAAAAAACAACTGCTGCAAAAGTGACTGCAGAGCTCAATCTCAGTCTTCACGGGACTCCCTGCACAGAGATTGGGCTCTCACAGAGAACCCAGATTCTGTACTAACAATCAGGAACTAGGAGGCTATGACTGATTATGACAGTGATCAGTCTCTGTATAGCCCACCCATGTGTTTTTTTCTCCTCTTGAATGGAGACAAAGATACATTGTATATTTTTCTCCTTTGAGTGAACAGAAAAATGTAAACAAAGAATTGTGTGCAACAAAAAAAAGAAAGAAAAAATAACTAGACCAGCATTTGATCTAGGTCAGGGTTAGGGTCAAGGTTTGTTTTAGGTCGGATAAAAAAAGCAAAGTTCACACTATGGATTTCTACTATAGGTACAAACAACACATAACATACACATATACAGTATCGCTGCGATCATCAGTAGCAGGAAAATTTATATTGAGTTGTTTTTAGGCTGCAGGTTATGGTAATAGGAAGAAGTATACAACTTAATTAAGAGAGAAAATATATATATTTTTTTTATATTTTGAGCCAGTTTTCCTTTGTAAATAAAGAAAAAAATCAGGAGATATCCATCACCATTAACTACCAAATGAAAGCCAAATTTGTCCTGAAAACAAGGTATAATTCACCTGGATACACTAGGTAGTTGCAATGATATGTATAGTTTTACTAACGTATCAAAGTTGCAAAACCATTCAGGCGATTTTGTTTTACCCTGCTCCGTGAAGGGGTTAAAAAAACAAAACGTCCATATAAACTCAAACCCTCTTAATTACAAAAAAGATCAATTTTACTTTTCAAGCTAATTTTGCCAAAGCAGCTTAACAAAGGAAATGGAAAGTTTCTGCAGAATTTTGACCAATGATAACATTTTGTGGCAAAATCAATTTTGCAATACTACAGTTGTTGGTGGATCTAAAGAAGGTTGTGCAGTCAAATTATGACAGTCTTTCTAATTTTATTCCATAATTATCTCCAATTTCAAAAAGTCTTTTTCCCTATGCTAAACTCTCTATCTGGTATAGACATACTGTAACTCCAATAACCAGCCATAGATGGATTGAATCTTGGGCAGTTCAGCATGTTGCCCATAGAGGTGCAAATGAGTAGACCAAGGTGAAGCCGCTGCCTCGGGTGGGAAATTCAGGTACATTCAGTAAACAGAGAATGGTCTTGTATACATAATCTTAAAATAGAAGGACCAACTTCCCAATGGGGAACCATCCAGACACAATGTAAGTAAGTTAGGATAAAGACAGCATGGTATACAAGGTAATCAAGGCACGTGTTTGACATGGATTCATGTGAACTGAGTTTGTTTTTAGGATACTTATCAAGATCCCCCTCTTTGGAGTTGCAAGGTGGATTTCACGAGGTGGGGTAGGGCACCCTTCCAAAAAAGGGGGTCACACAGGAATTTATCTCCCTAAAGAAAGATACAGGGATCCAAATTAATTGAACTTTTATAGGATCATCATCTTCAATAAACTAATATGCCCTATCAAAATCAAAGGAAGAGCTGACCAAGTCTGACACCACTCTCGCAAGAGATACAAGAGGAGAAGAAGGTTACGGCCAAAGAAATGGGTCGCATCCCTGGTTACCTGGACTCTTAGGTAGCGGAATTCCTCCACCCAGAAGAGCTGGGTGGGACTAGCCCCGGCACAGGCTTTTTCATCTAGGGCAAAAAGCAGTGACTTACCCCAATTAATACATATACCCAAAAACGAGGACACTGTAGCAGATGCCCCGAGCCTGGAGCGTTGCCTTTACTTGATTGAACGTCTGTAGCTTCTGTGTCTCCACTGTATAATCAGGAAAAATGAGAAGTCATCCATTTTTGTAGGAGAGGTCCCCCTTGTGTCACGCAGCCCAAAGAACCTCATCCTGGTCCCAATAGTTGAGCAGCTTCAGGATGAAGGTGCGGGGAAGAAATCCAGGGGGACCCAGGCACGGTGGGTTACGATGGGCACACTCCACTGTTGTGAAGAAGGGAGAAAAGTGGGTCTCCAGCAACTGGGAGCGTAACAATTCTACTGCGGGTTCTTGCCTTTGGCACCCTCAGCCAGGCCCACAATGCGGAGGTTATTCTGCTGATTGCGGTTCTCAACATCCTCCGCTCTATACTCCAGGGCACACATCTTCATTTGTAGGGAGGACAGCGTCCTCAGCCTGGCCCAAACGCTGCTCAGTGGTGGTCACCCGGGAGCAGATTTTGTGGATGTCGTGGCAGAGGAAGCCCATATCCAATTGCACCATTTCAATTTTAGTGGTAAGGGCGGCCTGAAAAGCAGTAATAGCTGCCATAACACCCTGAAGACCGGGAGGTGGAAGGTCAATAGGTTCTGCTAGGTCGGTCTGTGACGCCATATTGGAGAAGGCCATATTGGAGCTTCTTCCCTTTATAAGGCTTTTGGCAGTTCTACCAAGCATCCGAAAAGCAGGGAGGTACTGCCCTATTTACAAAGAACTCTGGAACTGGAGAAAAAAAGATTCCACTGCCCGCAGAGCTCCAACAGACACAACCTCTCAGAGTGCCATCTTGGCCACGCCCCCATGAAATAGATTTTTAATGGTACATAATAAAGTTGTTTTTACGGTATTCAGTTTCTCTTCTATATGTCCACATAAAGTCCATAACTACATATTTTGTTCATAGTTGTACATGATTTGCTGGGATGTGGACATACAGCACACACAGTCTGGGTTTCTCTCCTGCTATAGAGCATTTCCATAGTCTCTTCTCATTTTAGAGCGGACTGCAGCATTGTAACAGGCCAAAAGTTGGGAAGTCTGCAGCAAAGTCTGATCCATGTTCAGCATTTCTTAACAGATCCAAAAACTACAAAGACAACAGGATTTACATGACTGTGTCATCTGAAACCACATCTCAGTCCAGGAAGTAGATAGTGACCCTTGTTAATGCCTAAACAAAGATGGCACCATCTTACTGAAGAGAAAAGCAGATGAAGCTGTTGTAAGGGGGAGTCCTGTGACCTCTATGAAAGAATAAATACTTGGAAGTGTTACACTGACACATTACTTAGCGTGAATGAATGTACCATGAAAAATTATATTTCATGCTAAGTCTGCTTTAATGGAGTATGGATAAAGATTTTGGGAAGGGTTCTGTGCAGGCAGAAGCACTGATTGACCTCTGCCTATGATTCATGAAAACAGAGTCCTCAGAATCTCTCCTGACCTTCTTTGCTTTTTCTTCTGGAATAATATAATTTCCAAAAGCCTGATGGCAAAAGGAAATGCTGAACTCTCTATGCCATTTGGAGAAATGTGATTTGTATCTCTTTCATCGCTGCAGCACTACAGTTCATGCCCTCTGAAATTAGATTTTTTTTCTTCCCTTTCTAACTTTTAGCCAGCTTGGTCATCACTCAAAGTGTTTTTTAAACTGCCACTTCATAGGACAACAAATGTCTTATATTTCAAAAGAAAATTAATCCTGCTTAAATACCTATAGTCCTATATTGAAATGTACAAAAGGTTCCTCCGTCCCTTCATCAACATGCCATTGAAAATTTTAAATAAAATATTTCTGCTTTCATGAAAAACCTTATTTTGACCCAGTGATATCTTCACTGGGTATCTGTGCTTCTCTATGTAATGCAGAAAGATCATTTCTGGTGGGAAGGGCTATACATTTCTTCCTGAAAATAGCAGACTGCCCTAGGTAATGTCCATATGTGATGCTGAGCCTCCATGATTGAAAGTACTAAAATCCAATGAATAAAAGGGAAAGTCAAGCAGGCTGTGGAAAGTGCTAAATGATGCGGGTTGTCCTCTGGCCAGAAAATGAGGTGGGCTCTATCTGATTGCTGTAGCTTCTAATGCACACTGTAAGAAACTCACAGTGTATAGTGAAATAAGAGTAAGCAATTTCAGTTCAAGCAATTTCTAGTACAACTGTGCTAGACTGAAGGGAAGGCTGGAGTTCAGCTTCAAAGCTCCAGATAGAGCACAATAATTTATATAGAGAGGGAAGGGTTAGAGCCACTGTTGGGTTTTCCTCGCTATCAGTTTTCCTTTGTGGAGATTTTCCACACTTCCTGCCAGGGCAGAAAGCTATGGGAAATCTGTTGTATGTGTCAAGGAGAAACACCAAAACACATTTTTGAACTGCTAAAAATGTTTTTTATTGCTATGCATCCTATCTCAGTGACAAGCATTACCCCTACTTATTGCCCTAGTGTCACAGAACCAGGAAGTGAGGGTAAATCCTATCAACGTTTCTAAACCTTCCCTACAGATTTCAAAATTATGAAAAAAAGTTTTGGCTTTAGTTCCACTTTATATGAATAATAAATTAACAGACAAAGATCACAATATTTTTTATTTTGTTGCAGATTGAAATGTTGGAGCACAAGTATGGTGGTCACCTAGTTTCCCGAAGAGCTGCATGCACTATCCAGACTGCTTTCCGTCAGTATCAGCTCAGTAAGAACTTTGAAAAGATCCGAGACTCACTCCTCCAAAGCCGACTGCCCAGGCGTATCTCCCTGCGAAAGGTGCGAGTGCACAACCCTGATAACTTTGCCTCTGCTGAAAAGGCTCTTCTTGAGAGCTACAACCTGATGGGCATTCCCTTGGTAAGGTCTCCTTCACTTCCAGCCACTATCAGTGGGGCATTGACTGAATTGGAAGACTCCTTCACTGAGCAGGTACAATCTTTGGCCAAATCTATTGATGATGCTCTTAGCACGTGGAGTTTGAAGACCATGTGTGCCTTCCCAGAAGCTGGCTCTTATCAGATCCGAGAGACTTTCATGCAGCAAAATCCAGAACTAGAACCTCCAAATCTGGAAGAAGGAGAAAATGAGGAAGGGCAGTTAGGGACATTGCCGAAGAGCAGCAGCACGTTGATGATGGCTTTCAGAGATGTAACTGTTCAAATAGACAATAACAATATCTCAGTCTCATCATCGACTTCTTTGTCTATGTCCAACTGTCTTGCAGGGGCTCAAAATACAAAACCAGAAGAAGATCGGGGTGGTGGGGAAAGAATTCCAGAGCCTCCTTCTCAGGAGGTACCAGCAAATGAGTCTCAGCTTGTTCAGAACTCCTTCCCGGAGGTCAATGGAGAAGGAGTGGGTAAGGAACTAGTTGGGCCTGTGCAGGCTGAAACAGAACCAGCTGACCTGTCAGAACAGCTGAGCAGCAGTAGCACGTCTACCTCAGCAAAGTCTGTGTCAGAGGTCTCTTCTAAGGAGGCCTTGCAAGCCATGATCCTCAGCCTTCCTAGGTACTATTGCGAGAATCCAGCCAGCTGTCGCTCTCCGACCTTGTCAACGGACACCATGAGGAAAAGACTCTACCGCATTGGACTCAACCTCTTTAACATGTGAGCAGAGGCCAAGGGCTAATTAGCTAGTGGCAAAATTGCTATAGGTTTGACAACAAAGTGAAATAAATATGTAAATGTAAAACTGTTATCTTTGTTTTGGATAGAGTAGAGAATGTCTAAACCAGGGGTGCTCAACATGTGACCTCCAGGATGTCTATTATGCTATTCAAATAAAAAATATGAATTCTGAACCATTACATTTCATTGTGGCCCGCGACTGGTTACCAAATCACTTAAGTGGCCCTCACTCTTCAAAAGGTTGAACTCCCCTGGTCTAAACCCCTAGGTATTTCTTTTTGTGTCTATGTCCTATTAGGGAGATTTTTTTTCAGTTCCAGCACAGTAGTAATAGTGGCAGTGGTAGATTTATATCCTGTCCGAAGAGACTTAAAATGAAAACTACAATTACCACTAATGCAAATTGTTCACTAAACACTCCTTTTTCATGATTTCATCTTTATAAACATGCTAATGCACTATGAGCTATGAATATAATACTTTTCAGGAGGGGTTCCTTGAGACCTAAAAATTATTCCTTGGGTTACTTTGGAGTAAAAAGTTTGGGCAAGGCTGGCCTAACCACACTCTAGTGTGACTGTAATATTCTCAAATACTGCACCTCAACAAAAAAAACACCTCTTTTCAGTGCTGGTTAAATACAAAGAGCTACAGCCAAAGTGTTTAATGATGAGCGCTGCATCAGAGCAAATACAGTATGCTCTTCTTGTAGGATTGATTGCATTGTCTGTGTAATTTGAAGGGAAGGCCAGATCTCCAGTATAGGATTTCTGTATGTTACCCAAAATGTGAATTCATGCTGCAAGGTTCACCTTTCTTTTAGCTACAGCTTTGACTGTGCCACCATCTTGACTTTGCAAGGACTTAGAGGTATGTGTGTGGGACAGCATTACTGATACAGTTTTATTATCCTTACACGCTAAGATGTCTGGGGGGAGCAGAAACTCTCTGTCAGGTTCTGCCATTACTGAGAATATCCAAGTTCTTCAAGACAATAAATATATAACACGTGAAAAAAAAAAGTATCTATAAAAAGAAGAGCACTTGTAACATTTTCAAAAGTTGATACCTGATATACCACAACCAGCAGGACTGCTTAACTATTCTCAGCCTGCTCCTACTACTTTCCACCCTAAACAAAAACAGGGGTGCAAACGTTTTTTTAATTCTCCGAGCTCTACTCAAAATAATACATAATTATTTCGAAATATTCCAATCTCTGCTTTTTTTAAGAAGAAATTGGGTAACATTGTTTTTTTCTCCACAGTAATCCTGACAAGGGCATTCAGTTCTTGATCTCCCGCGGTTTTATTCCAGACACCCCTATTGGGGTGGCACATTTTCTGCTTCAGAGGAAGGGTCTTAGCCGGCAAATGATTGGAGAGTTCCTGGGGAACAGCAAGAAGGTCTTCAACCGTGATGTCCTTGAGTGAGTAACAGTCCAATACTTCAAAATTCCTCATGAGAGACAGCCAAGGGTTGCTCGTGATTAGTTCCATAATGGTAGACTTGGTTGAGGGCCAGCAAGCAATACCTCTACTTAACTTCTACAAAGGCACCTTTAAATGAGATCTAAACCCAGTCACTACAACCTCATATTATCTTTAACATGTTAATGTAATTTCAAAAAAAGTTGTTTTCAGTTTCCTAAAACTCTGCAGCTTTCATTAAAGTAATCTCTGGTGATCCTGCCATGAAGGTCCTTGTTCAGGCACTTCCTGTTATACAGTGACAATAATCTATTCCTGTCCCAACTGAGCTCTTGCATTGCCACCCTGCCAGATTGGAGCATATATGCCAACTTTTATTTTGCCCATAATTACACTTTAAAGTTCTGTGCAGTGCTGCAGTTTTTTCTTTGTAGTCTAGGAGAAAGTATGTCATGAAACAAAATTTGTACAAATAAAATATATCTTTCATGCAGAGGATAGGACTTCTGTGATATGCATTGCCCTCTTTTGTCACAATAACTCGGATACTGAGCTCCTCACCTGAGCTCTGTAACTAGGTCAGCCTAGTCAACGCACATTACACGCTCCAAGCCCTCACGCATCTAGATGTACTGCTATACTGAGCTCTGTAAAAAAGAAATGATTACAAGGGCAGCTGAAAAAAATTCTCTATTTATGACAGAATAGAATTCAGAGTGTCTAAATCCTACTTATGGAGCTGTTACATTTACATGATTGGAGGACTGGAGTTACCCAAGGATTGCCCAGGGATAAGTAGAGTACATTTTGTGCAAAAAAAATATGGCTACAAAATTACATATTTTGCAATCAGTCAACTCTCGATTTCCCCATTAAGCTGCTTAGGTGAAATTTTCTTGAAAAAAATCCACATATTTGTATTTTGTTTTAATTAGAGGGTGTTTTGTAGGTGGCATTTGAGCTTTGTTGATTGTAGAGCTTTAGGTCTGTATCATTGAGGGAGTGTTGGACCTCTGCATACAGTTTTTCTATGCAGCATCTTGGCAGGGTCAGGCTTTTCTACTCTGCTCTCTTAAGCTGGGTTCACACTAGCCCGCAGGCTGGGGGCTGGTTGTGGGTGCAGGAATCGCACCTGTTCCTGCACCCACAACCACCCGCAGCCAAATCGCATCATTTTGAACGACCCCCACGCATCTCAGCCTGCAGCGTGATCACGGGTGTGGGAACCGCAGGAAAAAAGACCATGTGGTTTCCCTGTGGCCACATTTTTAAAAGTGCATGCATGAGGCACAACAGCCCATTCAAATGAAAGGGCTGCCGTACCAGAGCAAACACGAGCTGGACAGCCTGCACTGGTGTGAACCAGGCCTAAATAAAATTAACTGTAGGACTTTGCTCTATTTTTGATTCAATGCACAAGAATCAGATCTAAACTGAAAATTCAGCTGGGTTTTAAATATTTTTTATTTGATCTAAATATTGAAAGAAAAGGAATTGAAAGAAAAGGTTTGTAAGTGTTTCAGGTTTGTTCAGTAAGGTAGAGAATAGTCTGCAAAAGGCAATAATAAAAGAGAACCCAATCAAATTTTAGTTTGCTGCATCCAGATCAGTAAAACAAATTCTGATTGGTTACTAGCGCTTGCAATAGTTTGCTCACTGTTGTTTTCTGCATCAGTTTGAAGACGGAGAGACAAGCATATATGGTGACAGGTTCCTTTTAAAATGGAACAACAAAAAAAAAAGAATTCCTTCACATGTTTCTGACTTGCAAAATGCTGAGTGTTTGATGTGCTGTCCACTTACCTCTTTCAGCTGTGTCGTGGACGAGATGGATTTCTCCAACATGGAGCTGGATGAGGCTCTACGGAAGTTTCAAGCACACATTCGCGTTCAGGGTGAGGCACAGAAAGTGGAGCGTCTTATAGAAGCCTTCAGGTGAGGCCTTCATATCTTGTGACCTGAGCAGAAACACTAAAGGTACTGTGGTTTCACTAACATCAAGTTCTTCTCCCCACCATAGCCAGAGATACTGTATGTGTAACCCGGAAATTGTACAGCAGTTCCATAATCCCGACACCATCTTCATTCTGGCCTTTGCTGTTATCCTGCTCAACACGGACATGTATAGCCCTAGCATCAAACCTGACCGCAAGATGATGCTGGAGGACTTCATCCGTAACCTACGAGGTCAGAGAACTGTGCCTGGCTAGTTGCATTTCTTTTTCAATAAGTTAACTTACCATTGGAGGACTGGCAGGACAAACACAGCCAACAGACCTTTTTTTGATAGAAACAGTTCCCAAAGTGTGTCATGGTAGCACAGTGATTAGATGAGATATGGGTGAAAGGACAGGGTTTATTGCAATCCAGCTTTCCATATCATCAGCTTTCTTGTAAATAAATGCTCCACTTATTGGGTTTTGTAGTGCATTCCATGGCCTTTGCCATACTGGAACATCTTTGTACAGTTGTGGCTGCCTGGGTATCCTCAGGATGTTGCTGGTTTAGCACAGGCCATGTGATACTTTAAGAACCCACATGGTGAATTCCCTTATAGAACTACCACGCAAAAATGGCAAAGTTTTTCCCCTTACACATTTTATTTTTATATATTTCTCAGGATGCATTAACTCCAGTCTCCCTGCTGCCATTCCAGTGAAAGGAGTTCTGAAGTGCTCCCCTGGATTGGGGTGATGTCTGGATTGGGGTGATATCTGAGTGTGGGGTGATGTCTGAATTGGGGTGATATCTGAGGCTCTAGGTCCTTGCTGATGAGACCGAGTAGGCTAAAATAATATTATCCTTAGGCCCTTGTTCAGGTTCAGCAAAAGCCCTTTACTGCTGGTTAAGGTGTGTTGCTTTGTCACTGCGGCACTCAGAACTCCTCATTAAAATATGGTAGACAAGCAGTAAAACGAGGTATCTCCTTATGGCTTTTGTGAACCTTTTTCAACATATCTTCCCAGGGGTGGACGATGGAGCAGACATTCCTCGAGATATGGTCGTGGGAATATACGAACGGATCCAACAGAAAGAACTGAAATCAAATGAAGATCATGTGACTTACGTGACAAAGGTGGAAAAATCCATCGTAGGCATGAAAAGTGTACGTTTCTTTCTTTCAAATGCATAGGTTTTTTGGGAGATTATCTAAAGTTTGAGGTGGCCTTAGCATCTTATTTGGATCTACTTGACTTTCTTTGAGAGAGTTTCTAAAGATGTCCAGGGAGAGCTGATTGAAGCTGTTGGCTACTAATAGATCCAGAAACACTAGTCATAAAACAGTTGATGGGTGGAATTTCTATGCAGAACAAAATTGTCAATCAATAACAGGGAAGGGGCATGTTTATAGATTTACCACTCTCACTTAGGAAGTGGAAACCTCCATGCACACTAGGGGCAGAAGTTGTGGTAGAAAAAAGTGGAATAAAAATGCTTATGGCTCGTATTGCAGAAGACTTTATTATTATTATTATTATTATTATACAGTATTTATAAAGCGCCAATAGTTCGCTCAGCGCTGTACATTACAAAGGGGGACAGAACATGTGACAGAACAATACCAATACAATGCAAAACATGAGGGGATCGAGGGCCCTGCTCTTTCGAGCTTACAATCTAGGAGGGAGGGGATGGTGGCACAGGAGGAGATAGCTGTGGGGGATGGAGTGGTAGAAAGAGTGGAGGAGGTCGGCAAGTTAGCAGGGGGTGGGGTAGGCTTCCCTGAAGAGATGGGGTTTCAGGGTGCGCCTAAAGGAGAGGAGAGTAGGTGATAATCTGATGGGTTGGGGCAGGGAGTTCCAGAGGATGGGTGACACCCTGGAGAAGTCCTGGAGGCGGGCATGGGAGGAGGAGACCAGGGAACTAGAGAGAAGGAGGTCTTGTGAGGAGCGGAGTGTGCGTGCTGGGCGGTACTTGGATATTAGGTCAGTGATGTAGTTCGGGGCAGTATGGTGGACAGCTTTGTACGTTAGCGTTAGGATTTTGAATTTGATCCGTTGCGCAATCGGAAGCCAGTGGAGGGATTGGCAGAGGGGGGTGGCGGAGACAGAGCGGTTGGAAAGGTGAATGAGTCTGGCAGCCATATTCAGGATCGACTGAAGCGGGGATAGCCAGCGGCGAGGCAGGCCAGTGAGGAGGGAGTTGCAGTAGTCGAGTCGTGATATGATGAGGGAGTGGATGAGCTGTTTAGTGGTTTCTGGGGTTAGGAACGTGCGGATTTTGGCGATGTTGCGGAGGTGGAGTCTGCACGAATTTGTTAAAGATTGGACTTGGGGTTGAAAGGATAGGTTGGAGTCCAGAATGACACCAAGTACTCTGGCCTGCAGGGCGGGTTTGATGGTAGCGTTGTTGGATGTGACGGAGAAGTCAATGGGGGGTGGTGTCCGGGCTGGGGGGAAGACAAGAAACTCGGTTTTGGAGAGGTTCAATTTAAGGAAGTGGAGTGACATCCAGTCTGATATGTCACTCAGTAGGTGTGTGATTCGGGCTGAGACCAAGGGGGTGAGGTGGGGGGTTGAGAGATAGATTTGTGTGTCGTCGGCATAGAGGTGGTAGTTGAAGCCGTGAGAGTGTATGAGTTGGCCAAGGGAGGAGGTATAGATGGAGAAGAGAAGGGGCCCAAGGACAGAGCCTTGAGGGACCCCAACAGAGAGGGGGAGTGAGGGGGAGGTGGTAGCATTATAGGTAATGCTGAAGGAGCGTTGTGACAGGTAGGATGAGAGCCAGGAGAGAGCAGAATCTCTGAGGCCGAGGGAGTGTAGTTTTTTGAGGAGGAGGGGGTGGTCGACTGTGTCGAAGGCCGCAGAGAGGTCAAGGAGTAGGAGCACTGAATAGTGGCCATTAGCTTTGGCGGTTAGCAGGTCGTTGGAGAGTTTGAATAAGGCAGTTTCGGTGGAGTGTAGGGGACGGAAGCCAGACTGTAGGGGATCGAGGAGGTTGTTGTCGTTGAGGTGAGAGCATAGGCGGGTGTAGACTAGGCGCTCGAGGAGTTTAGATGTAAATGGGAGCAGGGAGATGGGTCTGAGGTTGTTCGGGTCATTAGGGTCCAGGGAGGGCTTTTTAAGTATGGGGGTGATGTGTGCATGTTTCAGAGGGGAGGGGAAAGTGCCGGAGGAGAGGGAGAGATTGAAGATGTGGGTGAGGGAGCGTAGGATGGAGGGGGAAGGAGGTCGTAGGAGTTGTGAGGGGATAGGGTCGAGGGGGCAGGTGGTGAGGCGGGCATCAGAGAGAATCATGGAGACTTCCTCGATGGTAGTAAGGTCAAAGGTGCGGAGTGTTGGGGGAGCTTCAGTATGAGGAATGTAGGGTGGGGTGGAAGAGGAGGTCAGAGCAGTGGTGGGGCCGTGGGAGAGGGGTGATGAGGGGGTAGCTGAGTGAGGGTGAAGGGGGTTGGAGAGGGTTTTGAGCAGCGACGAAGTCCCTGCGGGTTATGTCGAGGGGAAGGGGAGATAAGGGGGTAGCTGTGTGAGAGGGGACGGGTTGAGAGGGCGTGTGAGTTGCGGCAATGTCCTTGCGAATTGTGTCAATCTTGTTTTTGAAGTGATTGGCAATCTCAAGGGCAGTGAGTGAGGTGCTGGGTGGAGGTGGGGGGGGTGGAGAGAGTAGAGTGTTGAAGGTGGAGAAGAGTCGGCGAGGATTGGAGGAGAGGGCCTTGATGAGGGTGAAGAAGTAGGCCTGTTTGGCAGCATGGAGGGAGGAGGTGTAGATGTGGAAGGCAGATTTGTAGCGGGTGAAGGCTTGTTGGGATTTGGTTTTGCGCCATAGTCGCTCCAGGGCACGACTGTGTCGTTTGAGGGTTTTGGTGTGATCAGTCTGCCAAGGCTGGAGCGGTCAGGGTCTGATGTTGCGTGTGGTTAAAGGCGCTAGTGAGTCAAGGGCTGTTGAGAGCGTGTTGTTGTAGGCGGTCATAGCCAAGTCGGGGCAGGACAGGGGGAGGATGCTGTCATAGAGATGATCAGCTGCAGAGTGGAGGGGGGCAGGGTTAAGGTTACGGCTGGTAGTAATGTGACATTTGGAGGGGTAGGCGTTGGAGGACGAGGAGATAGAGAAGGTAATCAGGTTGTGGTCAGAGAGAGGGAAGGGGGTGTTAGTGAGGTTGTGGGGGAGCGCAGTGGTTGGAGAAGACAAGATCAAGGATATTACCGTTGGAGTGGGTGGTGGATTGTATGCACTGTGCAAGTGTAAAGGAGGAGGTTAAGTGGAGGAGACGGGCTGTGTCTGGGTTGTCGAGGTTGACAGGGATGTTGAAATCCCCAAGGATGATGGTGGGTAGCTCAGAGGAGAGGAAGAACGGTAGCCAGGAGGAGAAGTCATCCAGGAAGCGGGGTACGGATCCAGGAGGCCGGTATATCACAGCAATCTTCAGGGGGGTTGGGGAGAATAGTCGGACGCAGTGGGCCTTGAAGGAGGAGAAGGATAGGGAGGGGGGGTTTGGGAAGACTCGGAAGGTGCTCTGCGGTGACAGGAGCAGACCAACCCCACCACCTTTATGAGAGTTTATGGGCATTTGCTTTATAAGTGCTTTTGACCAAAACAGTTGAAAATGCCAGGCACTTCTAAACTCCACAAGCGTTTTTTCTGCCACAATGCTCCTCTCAAAAATGTGATTCTGAAGGTTCTTTCTTTTCTGCCTTTAAACACTCTTCTGAAAATATGCCCGTAAATTCCATCATTTGCATTGACACATAGGCTAACACAGTGCTGCTTCTACAAGCTGAGGAAAAAAACACAAAACACCCGTATAAGTATATAAGTAGCATTTTTTATGTCCAGGGTACATGGACCCTAAAAGACTTTTGTTTTTTTTTTGCAAAGCATAGTGAACAAAATTATTTAAGTATGGATACATTCTATTTTGAAAGATCAGCCTAACCAATCATGAAATTTTAGTTATACTGTATATTCAATCTACTGTGCTGAGTCGGTCCCCAGCTTTGTATACGGTATGGATACTTGAACAGCATCATCTTCCTGATTTCTGTTGACCTGGGACTGTTGAGTGTCCCTACCCTTTTTTTTGTGTCCCAGCTCCTACTATTACATTCCCCATAGTATAAAATTAATTTAAAATTCAGCAGGAATAGTGAGAACCCCTCATAATGGGCATAGCAGGTGTGCAGACATAGGAACCCCCCAAGAGAGACACTGGCAGGTGGTTTAACTCTCCAACATCCACTAAACTATGAACTCTCTGCTCTGAGTGGACTGGCCCTTTAATCCTGTGATTTAATCAGTTATCTGCTAAAAGACAGTCAAACAGGTGGTACAGGAGGAAGTACATATTGTTGATGTGGCAGTCTGTGATTGGTTTTTGTGTTCCCCTGTAGGTCCTTTCTGTCCCTCACCGGCGTCTAGTTTGCTGTAGTCGTCTCTTCGAGGTGACTGATGTGAACAAACTGCAGAAACAAGCAGCACATCAGAGGGAGGTCTTTCTCTTCAATGACCTTTTGCTGGTAAATATTACCAAGCAAATTTTCCACTACTATGCTTGTCATCAGAACCGTTTGCCACCCTGTGTTCTCACAAAGAAAACCTGTCTCTTTCCTTCAGATCTTGAAGCTGTGTCCCAAGAAGAAGACCTCTTCAACCTACACGTTTTGCCGAGCTGTACCTCTCCTGGGAATGCAGTTTCATCTCTTTGAGAATGAATGTGAGATATCTTTTTGTGTGTGCTTTGAAAAATTAATGACTCTAGGGTCACTGAGAAAGTGGAGTAAAATGTTATACAGTATATACCTAAAACACCCTTCTGTCCAGTTACTCAATCATAATGTTTTTTTACTGTCTACCTGGAGTTCTGGATACTCCTACATTTATATACTGTATGCGTAAAATAGCAAAGATATCGTATTGGTTTTTAACCACTGCAATATACCAATTATTGCTAAATGAGCTCCTCACGGGAGGAGTCAGAAAAATCTGTCCTATAGTAACATTTTCCTGGTACTCTTTCATTATATGAGGTTTTATAATGTTTTTCAGACGTTTTGGATGCTCTTGCATTCATATATACTTAAAAGAGAGAGATACATTACTGGTTGTTGTGAGCTTAAGTATGTCAATGATTATTGCTAAATGAACTCCTTGTGGGCAGAGTAAGCAACATTTCCACCTTAACATACATAATGGGAGATTTTAAATGTTTTCCTGGAGTTTTGTATACTACTTTTATGTATAGAATGCAATGACACAGTGGGAGGGATTTACCCATCCACGTCAAATGTGTGGATAGGGAAATCGGTTCAGTTTTTTTGGGCCAGCTAAATAAAAAAAACTGTGCCATGTAAGGCCACCTTCAGTATATTGATAATTATTACTAAACAAGCTGCTTGTGGGCGGAGTCAGGAAACATCTACACAATAGAAGAATAGTATAATGAAAGTTTCTGCAACCTAATCTTGTGATCCTGAAATGGTATCAAAGCTTTCCCTCCCACTTTCAGATTACCCTCATGGGATCACCTTGGTTAGTCCTCTTTCAGGATCCGAGAAGAAGTTAGTTCTGCATTTTTGCGCTCTCGGCTCGGAGGAACTGCAAAAATTTCTAGAGGATCTGAAGGAATCTATTTGTGAAGTAACAGAGATGGAACAGATACGCATTGAGTGTAAGACATTGGTTTGTTTTTCTTACATAATTTTTTTTTCCAAATTATTTTTTTAAAGCTTTGGTATCATTCCGCTACATGGAAGAAAAATTTATGTATATATATATAATACTCTTTGGTCAATGAAATCTGCTTTAAAAGTTAGCGAAACTTTTTTGCTTTGTGGGAAAAGCAACATTTTTCTCCAGGTCAGCGTTCTGCTGTTTACTGCTAGCCGATGTTGTTGCAGACTCTCACCTGTTTCCTTCTTTAGCATACTTGCTAATAAGTTTTAAGTCTTGGCTCAGGGTTCCAGGGTTCCTGAAACCCCCCCCCCCCCACCCCCACCACCACTTGAAGTTGCTTTTGGCTGTACTTTTTCTTTTATGTGTATTTACCCTTTCTAAGGAAAGACATATGATCTTCAAGGCCCTCTTTGGAAGTTTCCAACAGTAGGCAACAGTAGGGGGAGGGTCTATGACACCCTGCACTCACAGGATTTCCTTGGTCTTTGGGACTGAATAATGCTGCACAGCATCCAACCATGTAGACTGAGGACAGCTAGTGATCCCTTGCTTTATACAATGCAGTGTTGTCTACCATGTGTGTGGTTCTGCTGACTGTTTTGTCTCATGTTTGCAGGGGAGTTAGAGAAGCAGCACGGGGTAAAGACCACACCTGCCAAATCAAACGGATCCCAGCTGGACTTTCAGCCTAAGCAGGAGTCCCCCATCGGTGAGTGGTATCTTCCTGCAGTGTCACAACCTTGTCCCTCCTCCTGACCCGAGAGTTTCCCCCAATCCAGCTACTCTCCTATTTTTCGTCGGCTTTACTAGCCTCCATCTGTCCTTGTCTGTATGTCCATCCTTTTTGTTCCCAACTATTTTTTTCTGACATTGAAACAGTTTCTGATCACCTTTCTCCCCTTTTGATATAACTTTTTAGTGGTAACTGTAGAAAGGTTTTTCTGTCTAATATATTTCTCTTGTGGTCTGTTAACCACAACCACTCTCTATCCTTCTCTAGAGCTTCTTTCTATAGATATCTATAAACAAATGAGTGCAGATGAGTGTCAAGGCGAAATTCATTTGCCCTCTGTCACCTTAGCTCAACATAGTGGAAAGTAAAAGATAGACAGACAGATAGATAGATCGATAGATCGATCGATCGATACAGCGATAGATCGATAATGAGGTGTTTATTACCACTTGAATATTAAAAAGCAGGAGCACAAGTAGGACGTTTTACCTGGAGATCCTGCTAGTAACTGCACTTCCTTTTGTAGACTGCCAACTCTAAAACACTGCCTCCCATTAAGCAGCATTGTTGTCAGCCTGTTATGAATGCTCCTTCAGTTGGCCATCATGCTGCCTAACAGGTCTGCAAGAAGTATGGGCAGACCTGACAATGGCCTCCAGGACAAATGAGGTTAATCCCCACAGAAAGAAATAAAAACCTAACAGGCATTCTATAAAACACAGGGGATTATAAGCAGAGAAGATGGGATGAGAGGAGGTATTTTTAGGGCAAAACAGAATTCCTTCCCATGGAACAAGTCTGCCAGCTGTCACTTTGCTGCCTCCTTTGGTAGTTAGCACAGAACAATAGGCTTACAAATGGAAAAATGTCCGGTTTCTCAATCTGTGTGAAAGTTCTACATCCACAACTTTAAATGTTATTATTAACTGTCACACAGTGCATGAAATGAGATTTTCTGAGCTCTGAAAGTTATAATTATTAGGGGAGGCTTAGCCACTAGTACATGAACTGTCAGCACAATATGATAAAGACCCATTTTCCTCCCTTTATGTTCCCCTCTCCAATAGAGACTCTCCTTGTCATGTAGCCATTACACCTCTCTGATATGACTGCTTTTCATATCCGTCTTCTGTCACTGTCACCTTCCCCTTTTCCTGCGTTCCCCATTCTGACCCTATTTCTTTCCGTTTTCCCGTGCTTTCACCTCCGTTCATTCTCTTTTGCCACTGTCTATCACTTTCTTTCTTTTATTTTCATGTTCTTTCTTCTATCTCGCTCTCTTTCTCGTTTTCTTTATTTCTCTCTCTTTCTGTATCTCTCTGATCATCTCCATCGTTCTCTTTCTTTCTATCCTTTCCTCTTTTTACTCTTTTCTTCTTCTTTTTTTCTCTATATCTGTCTTTTTATCTATATTTATCTTCTTTTTATATCTTCACTTTACTTCTGTTCTCTTTTTCTTCTTTTTGTATCTTCTGTCTTTTCTTTTTTTTCTCTTTTCTTTTCCTCTATCTACCATTCATCTTCTTTCTGTCTCTTTCTTTCTCTTCTCTCTTCGTATCTATTGTTCTCTCTCCCTTATATCCTTCTATATCTTCTCTTTTTGCTCTCTCTTTTTTATCACCTCTCTCTTTCTCTCTCTGTCTCTCTCTTTCTCGCTCTCTCTTTCTTTCTCTCTCCTGCACCTAAGTTCACCTCATATTTTGAAGGTAAGCACGAGTCACCTGAGAAGGACACAGGAGGCGTGGTGGAGGTGAGTAGGGCAATAACACAACAGGGCTGTGACACCGACCAATCACAATGCTCCATCCTGCGCTGCTCACCCATTCCTCAGCTCAGGACAACAAACTAAACACCCTGTGTGGCTAATCCTTTCCCCATAGACACATGATAATGATGTAGTCACCCCATCACCCTCACAATGTCCCACATTAAAGTATATCTGTTGCTCTCAGACAGTGGAAGCACCAATTTTTGCTGGAAATATAAATTCCTAATGCTTGTATCTAGAAAACCAAGACATTTTTTGGGCATTTCTTAGGAATGTAATTCATTGTATTGCTGTTAAACTGCATCACTAAAACCAGATTGCCCTCCCTGCTATCTGCCAGTTTATCAGGACCTTGTTGTACAGGTAACACAGATATTTTCTTCCATTTGCCTTTAAAATACCCCACGAATACCCCCTCCATCTTGACCACCAAACCTGTCAGCCATATTGTACACCAAAGTTACATTTAGGAAAGAGATGACAACTTTCTGGCCATAAAAGTGCTCAAATCACCAATATCTCAAAAGTGCACACAGTACCTGCAAGTACCTTTGTTAATTCCTCATATTCTTTTCTGTGCACCATAGGAGGCCTCCGGTCTCAGGTGACTGCTGCACAAAGGTCTTCTGCTCCATTTGAAAGCCCTCCCATACTCCGTTTCAAAAGTCTCAACAGCCAGTAGAGACCATTTCCTTGTATTGTAGAATGTTCGGTCTTCATGGGTGGGGCTTAGCGCTCTCTCATTTTGTAGGTTGATCAAACACATATGGAAGTCCAGCTTACTGGTTGCCAAGTATAATTTAAATAAACATAGCTTGAACTGAAAACCATTTTGTCAGTTTAGAACTCAAACACTTTGGCTGCTCAGAAAGTAAATGCTGGTACTTAGCCAGGCCTCTTCTTTCACCACAGTTGTGTTTTTGGGCCCCTAGCAAAGTGGTCAGGATCGAAAACATATGGGTAAATTGTTTTTAGGTCTGAATTCCACAGACGTTCTGACAGTAGCTGGGAAGGCATTGTGCTGTGAAGACTCCTGATCTGCATTCTTGTTTTGGGTCAGTGACTCTGAAAGCACTTAAGCAATTTGATAAGCAAGACAGCAAGGCAGCTGACAGTACTGATCAGCACTGGCTCTCTCCATTTTCATTTGAGACTTCCTTTAACAAAGTCAAAACCTAATGCTTGATGTTGTTAACAACTAGCAAACAGGCACCGTTACAATTATTGCTTGAACCAAGAAAACGGTTAATCCACTGTGATAAAGTGACAGGTACACTTTAATTCCTAGTTCCTTTACTTTGCAGACCACAAAACAGGTTCCACCCCCATTTAAAATTGTTTTCATGAGCATTGTTTGCAGATAAGCAGCATTGGTAATAGCTAGCAAATTTTTTAAGTTGGTTGATTTTAATTTTACAGAATTTGAATGTTTTGCAAGATTCTGCATGATATTTTAAGAGATAATATTGTTTTGTCTATATTCTAAAGCTGTTTTCTACTGATTATGGGGGAGGAAGATATGGTGGTCTGCAATATAGATTTTGCATTATTTTCTAATGCAAAATGACATTTGAGGCTTTAGGGCCTAGTAGTGACACCCCCAGCATGCCACCCGCCCCCAAGACACCTAGAGGTTGTAGCCTATTAGCACTGTTAGCTTCTGGGGTTAAAGGGCAGCCAGGACTAGCACGTGGGAGATAGTCTTGTAACATTTAATGCTTCTTTGGCTGTTTCTAAACTAGGTGTCAATTCACAACAGGCTTCAGACGTCCCAGCACAGCGGCCCCCAGGGGCCAGAGAATGGAGCTCCGGGCAGCACGGCTCCTAATGGGCAGCGGGAGACTCTGCAGGCTGCCCCCTCCGACCAGCTCCTGCAGTGTCAGCAGATTGTCAAGGTGATTGTGCTGGACACACCCGGCCGGGCAACGTCCGCCCCCGACCAGACTGTCACTCGCTACTTGTCTGGGTCTTGCACCACTACTCCCCTACGTAACGTGGGAGGAAATGTCCACCAACCCCCATTACCCCCGCCACCACCCCCTTATAACCACCCACATCAGTACTGCCCTCCAGGGGTCCTTCTTAGAGAACGCAGATATTCCAGTGGCTCCCGGAGTCTTGTTTAAGTAACGGGTCACTATCCAGTCTTCTAGGACTAATCTGCTTGCACACATGCCAAACCTTGCACATTTATCACTTGCCCATACTCACATGAACAAATCCTCATGAGCACCCATCCTTGCACATGAAACATCCCTGCACATACTATAAAAAAAATATTGTTGCACACTCATGTTGATCTCATATACTCTCCTCAACCAGGCATTTCTTGCACACTTCTCTGACCCTTTTTTATATCCCTCAAAAGAGTTGAGCTTGTGTATTTTTAGTAGGTTTGAGCTCTCTCCACAATATTATTATTGTGGAGGAAACTTTGTATGATCAGCCTGTCCTGGACAAGTCACTTCGTTTTGCCCTCGTGTTTCTTCCACCCACTTTAACCCAGGGCTCCTGCATAAAATTGCACGCCTGGATCTTGTGGAAACTGGTCCTTCCTCTCCACTCTTAGGTGAAAATGGATTGACCCGGGAAACGTTTGCAAAAAAACAGAATTTCAAATTCTCTTTTGAAGAACACGACTACTTATCAGAGGAACTATGGATCAGCTACCAAAGCAACAGAGAAGTATTTGTGAAATGGACAGAAAATGGACTAATGCATTGCTTGCTATGCACTGCTTAGATCGTTGTGGACATGCCTTCAATGTGAATGCTTTTAAGCTTGGGAATTGTTGTAAAAGTTCAGTTCTCTACAGGAGCAAATGCTACTGTTACTGCTTCAGCAGTTTGCACACATTCATGATTAGAAATTTACAAAGGCATGTGCAGAGAAGAAGAGGAGCAACATACAATTAGTTAAGACATATGTACTGTCAAACTCATGGCTTTTAAAAAACTCCCCCACCTCCCCCAGCATCTCAACAGGTCTATGGTGTACTCTTGTTTTAAAGGGAAACTGTAGTGTCTTTTTAGTGAATATACATGGGGAAGGGGGATTATTAAAACTTGAGTAGACAGAATCTGGAGGAGTTGTGCGTAGTAACCAATCACCTTCTATCCTCAGCTTGTTCAGTTAAGCTTTAGGCTGAATTTACATTGTGTCCGCAAGGACACACAAAAAACTATTGTTTTCTGTATGTCCCATTCATACTGTAATGCAGCCTGGAGCTGTGCTGCAGTGCACTGCAATAAAATGCAGACATGCTTCATTTTATTGCAGCACAGCATGACGAATCTCATGGCATTGTACAGCACCACAGCTCATCGTGCTGCTGTACACTGTCATGAATGAAGTGTACATTTTGTACATTTCACATAAAGTTTGTACAAGACAAAAAGAAAGGGAGCTGTGCGATGTGCTGATTTGTGCACCACACCACCCCCCAACGCTACCGGGAATGGAGAGCTGCCTTCCAGAGCAGTAAAGCGCTCTGGCAGCTCTCCGTTCCCATGTGAATTCACCTTTAAAAATGAAAATAAGAAACTGAATGGTTGCAATGCACAGCTGTTTCAGTGTTAGTAAAACCACCTCATTATGCAATATTTTCATAACATCTACCATCATTTATTTGTGACCTAATTTTTACTTTTATTATTTTATATATCGATTGTTTCATTCAGTATCCATATTTGTAAATGCTTTCACTAACACCCACCTCCATGCTGAGAAACATGATTAGCATCTCTGCTTAAGGACTGCTGAAAATAGCTAATAGCTAGTTTTTAATCAGTCAGAGCTGATCCATAGTCCTGAGAGATGAGTGTCAGAGGACAATCACTGTACAGCCCTACTTAGGAAGAAGAGCCTGAATATTAAATATGGCTGCATTCATTTACATACATATTTACAATTTGTATATAAAAGATATTTTAAAGAAATAACAGTAATCAAGAATACATTGAGAAACAGCACTTTGTCACGATATATATATACACACACTATATTGCCAAAAGTATTGAGATGCCTGCCTTTACACGCACATGAACTTTAATGGCATCCCAGTCTTAGTCCGTAGGGTTCAATATTGAGTTGGCCCGCCCTTTGTAGCTATAACAACTTCAACTCTACTGGGAAGGCTGTCCACAAGGTTTAGGAGTGTGTCTATGGGAATGTTTGACCATTCTTCCAGAAGTGCATTTGTGAGGTCAGGCACTGATGTCAGACAAGAAGGTCTGGCTCGCAGTCTCAGCTCTAATTCATCCCAGAGGTGTTCTATCTGGTTAAGGTCAGGACACTGTGCAGGCCAGTCAACTTTCACAAACTTGTTCATCCATGTCTTTATGGACCTTGCTTTGTGCACTGGTGTGCAGTCATGTTGAAAGAGGAAGGGACCATCCTCAACTCTTCCCACAAAGTTGGGAGCATGAAATTGTCCAAAATGTCTTGGTATGCTGACGCTTTAAGAGTTCCCTTCACTGGAAATAAAGGGACAAGCCCAACCCCTGAAAAACAACCCCACACCATAATCCCCCTCCACCAAACTTTACACTTGGTACAGTGCAGTCAGGCAACTATCGTTCTCCTGGCAACCGCCCAACCCAGACACGTCCATTGGATTCCCAGACAGAGAAGTGTGTTTCAGAGAACACGTCTCCATTGCTCTAGAGCCCAGTGACAGCGTGCTTTACACCACTGCATCTGACGCTTTGCATTGCACTTGGTGATGTAAGGCTTGGATTTAGCTGCTGGGCCATGAAACTCATTCCATGAAGCTCTCTACACACTGTTGTTGAGCTCATCTGAAGGCCACACGAAGTTTGGAGGTCTTTATTGACTCTGTAGACAGTTGGCGACTTCTGCGCACTGTGCGCTTCAGCATGTGCTGACCCCACTCTGTCATTTTACGTGGCCTACTACTTCGTGGCTGAGTTGCTGTTGTTCCCAGTTACTTCCACTTTGTTATAATACCACCAACAGTTGACTGGAATATTTAGTAGCAAGGAAATTTCACGGATGGACTTATTGCACAGGTGGCGACCTATTAAGGTATCACACTTGAATTCACTGAGCTCCTGAGAGCGACCCATTCTTTCACAAATGTTTGTAGAAGCAGTCTGCATGCCTAGGTGCTTGATTTTATACACCTGTGGCCATGGAGGTGATTGGAACACCTGAATCCAATGATTTGGAGGGCTGGACCAATACTTTTGGCAATATAGTGTGTGTGTGTGTCTGTATATATATATATATATATATATATATATATATATATATCTCAATCACTATAGTTTCCCTTTAAGTGAAAAGATGTTGAGTAGAGATGAGCAATAATGTCCTCAAAATTCCCTGGAGATTTCAGCAAAATGATGCTATTTTGGCAAAATGGATAGGAGTGAATGGGTAAAGTCAAACCTAAGGTGGTTTGTGGTGGTTTTTAACGGTGCAGATGGCTTTGAATGGCTCATAGGTTTTATGGAAGTTCTTTTCAACTATCGTGGACCTATTCTGACAGTAATAATGGTTCCTTATTAGCCTAATTTTTTTCACAGATAGAAAAAAAAAAAACAGAAAAAAAGGAAAGTAAGATTAAAAAAGTAAAAGGGACAGAACATAGACACAATCAAATCAACAAAAAGAGGAAAAAAACACAACTACAAATAATAATAAATACCTTGAATATACCACCTACAAAATCCAAACCCTCTCAATAAACACATTTTTTTTTGTAAATGTTACCTAAGCAGATTAATGAAAGAAATTGAAAGCCTCGCCTTTAGCTAAAAAATTTGCAGACCGTAAAATTGGTAATTTAGCATCAAAATCACTCAGCCACATTGTTAACATAGAATCATAAATATATTGCAAATGCGCAGAAAAATAATATTTTTTAATCAAAAGATTTTTCCGAGGAACTATGTTTCACTGTTTATCAAAATAAATTGCCATTGATTTTACCAGGAAACAGCTCATTCATAATCATACTTTTTTTTACAACATAACACCTTTTCCCCATAATAAGGTTTGTACTCACAAAAAAAAAAGATCAATCTTTTATGGCAATTTTCTTGCCATAGCCCCTGCTGTTACAGTGATCTATGGTCTTCATAGGGATCCTGTGGTCAATTTTGGGGGTCCTGTCTGTCCACCCTGATGCAATATTACCTTCTCCGTTGTTGTATTAAAAGAATACACATCAGATCAGTGGGTGGAGAAAGAAAATAAGTACAATATTAAATATTAATATTAACTGGTCATTTAAGCTATTATCAGCAATATTGTAATCCATGCCTTTGGAGCAATGCTTCCTTTATCTTGACATTCTGACCTTCATTCAGAACGTGAGAAAACCCTTGTCAATTACTTTTTTAACACAATCCTGTTTCTGTTAGTCATTATAACATAATGAATCTATTGCGAGACTGTTACACTTACTCATTGAGTAAATAACATTTTTTAGTTTTACTATCATAAATTCCACATTATTTATGGCTTCGTAGCTTTGCTGACCATTCCCCATAATGCTCCCTGGTATGGTGCCCCGCTATCAAGCATAAAACAGCATACATGATGTGGGCTTATACTAGTCCAAGTTCTTAAACAGTGCAAAAACACATCCAAACCCAACCAGAATATTAGCAAATATATAAGCCACTAATTGAGAAACTAGCAGAAGCCATAACTTTTTTTGAGTAGTAATTTGTGCATGCTAAAATCTGTTTGCTGAATTCCAAATAATTGCCTTCTGGAATAGATTTGTTACATTCCGTATTTGAACTTATGGCCCTAGACATTCAACTTCTTTTTTTTTTCTTAAAAGTAAAATGTTTG